AAAAAACCCAAAAAACAAAAAAAAAAAAACAAGTCAGTATTCAAAATGGTGAGCTATTTTGTATAAACTCACTTAAAATCATATTTATTAAACTTCTCTTACTCTCTCCTTTGTCCTTCCATTCTCATTATCACAGTATGTCTCTGATAGTCAACATTTTAAAATACATATGCTGAGAACTGATGAATCAGTGGTGACAGGTCTGCATAAAGTACATGAGAAGACACCTGGAGGCATCTACATATAGCATCACAGTTCTAGTCCAAATTGTCAGATATAGAAAGAGGCCTGCAAAAATCTAGTATGGGAAAGAATGCAGGGGAGCTTCTCTGTCACAAAATAAATTGATTAGTGGACGTGATCATTAATCCTGAAAGGTCAGCTTCATTGGATTAAAAAATGCCCAGCATGCTCTTGCACATGTCTGGGCGGTGCACAGAGGCATGACCTTGGGTGCTCAATCCAGGCCCTGGCCTCCTCCTCTCCAACACGGTCCTCCCGCTCTGCTCCCAGGGGGCCATGCATGGAGCAACTTTGCTCCCCCTCATCCTTCTACCACGGTGTTGCTGCACTGGAGCCAGATGACCAGGGACTGTCTCTCCTAAAGCCGCCTTTAAACTATGGATATTGAGTATTGTATCTCAGTGGTTGGGAAACAAACCAGTACATCGGACTAAGACCTACTCTTATGTCTTTTTAAAAATGTATATGCCTTTCCCAAATATCAAGATCAGGGACTACCCATAGAATTTTGAAATTCTAATAGTTCAAATATAGAAAGACAAAAATCTGTAACAGTGCAGTTCCTATATTTTCATAAAGTTCATCTATATGGCTCAAAAATTTTAAGAAATGTTGGCAAAGCTACAGTCTCCATGAGACTTTGGTGAACTAAATTGTGAGTTACCAGCTTTGAGCTCATTTGTGCTTATATAACCACACACTGCAAAGATCTAACATGGTTAATCTGACAAGCATACTTAGCACTTTGCATTTACACTCCTCATGCTTATTAAAACATGCTTACATACTAAAGAAAATGATTCATACATGAGTAAAACCACACACACACACACACACACACACACACACACACACACACACCAGCAATCATGAACTGGTTCTATATTTGCAAGTAAAGTCCACATTTAACTAAGAAAAATATTTGCGTCCAATTAAACTGTGAATGAAATCACCCCCCTTAGTGTTAATGTGTTTGGATTTGCTTTCTGCTATTTTCTAGCCATCACATCATATTTTCCCGTAAATATGCTGAGCTATAAAGGGTCATTTGGAAGCTCTATTCAGACTGCTCTGCAATTTAGATCAATTGCACACGTGAATGGAGCATCAGTATGACATTATGGTTCTAAAATTATTGTCTATGAAATTCTGGGAATCTTTTGGAAGTGTCCAACATGTCTACAATATATACAGACACACACAAAGAAGTCAAGCTGTTTTCATAATTCCATAGTTCATTTCCATTTTATTTCACATTCAAATATTTCCTGAAATCATATTAAAGACTTTTCATTTTTGCAAAATGTTAGTGCTATATCAAGTTCAGGATTTGATAGGCAATTGTTAAACTATGTTTTACTTCATATAGGGCTTTTGAAAAAAAATGTAAATTTTGCTTACTACGGGAAAATATGAGAGCCTGCCTTCAAGAGCATGTGATTTGGTCCCTAAAGCTACTGACGAAGACACGGGGGGCTTCCTGGCTGATGGGCTCAAGGACAGACCCAGTTGCTGGAAGCAGAACAGAGACTAGCACCCTCAACATACCACAAGGGAAACAGCTAACTCCACTTGCAGCATCCAAACAAATGCACAAAATTGGAAAGACACGTGACTATTAGTTGGTTATTTTATAAACAATATATTTAAAACTTGAATTAGTATGTATAAAGAGTTGGCACAAACAGGCAAAGTTCGTTTTCCAGGCAGCAGCAGTGGCTGCACAACATACCCCCATGGCTATTGCCCTCAGCCCTTCCCCACTCCAAGAGAAGTAGTGCTGCTGGCTGCAGATTTCTTCAGCTCTATTTTCATAGACTGACTCTCAGCTCGAGCCTCGAATTTGGTCAGATTTCCTGCTCCTGGAGCTGCCACTATTGGCTTTCCTGCTTTCATACCTTTTGACATAGGGATTCGTGTGGGTGTAGGCCGTTGGGATGACCCGTCTTGTCCTGACTGGAAGAGAGCACAGAGATACAAGGGAGAACAGTCATCAGTTCTGATGGGAGCTTCCCACGGCAACACTGTCAGTCTCAACATCAGAGGGCCCTGCACCCAGGCCCTGCACCCAGAAGCAACACCAGGTAAAGGTTGCAAGAAGCTCGGGGTTGGGTTCTACTCTGCTCTGATTACCTCCTTTATTCTTTTTTTCCTTTAGGACAGGGTGTACAGAGTGTACAGGGTCTCAATGCATAGATCAGACGCCTAGTGATCTGCCTGTTTATAGCCTCCCAAGTGCTGGGATTACAGTCTTGCACCACCACCCCCAGTCTCAATCGCCTCTCAGGAAACCGCGGGGGCGGAGTCAGGGCCCGCAGGTAGGCCTGGGGATTGAAATGCAGGCCCGTGTGTCTGCCTAAGCAGGCGCTTTAATCCTCTGAGCCATTTGGCTGGCCCTCCTTTTCCTTTCTTGAAACATCTCCCCAGCTTTCTGCTCTTCCCAAGCTCTGTTCTGCCTCCTCCACTCTTTCTGCAGATGACACCCACCTCCTGGAGCAAATCTAGACCAGGTAGTTTACTCCTGTCACTAGACCACGCCCACTCCCCCTTCCCCTGTGGTCCACCAGTATAGATGAAGCAGCTCACTTTTGCTTCCTAATGACATCTGATTCCTCTCAGTTCCTGGGGTGATTACCAACCACACTTTCCTTCTTAAAATGTTCTTCATCTTCTCTTCCTGTGCTTCCTTGGTGCATCTCACTCCTGCCCATCTCATAACTGCTTTTCAGTTCCTTGTTCACTCCTTTCACCTTGTCTTCAAAATGCATCACCATGCCCTATTCTCAGCCTTTTCTGGATGTGTACGGTCGCCCTCAGAATTCCTTTGTTATTTCCCCATGCATCCAAGCCCTGGAACCTCTCTCTAGCTTTCAGTGCAGTCCTGAAATCTGCATCTCCAGCTACTCACTGGACTTTACAGCTGCCCCTGGCATCTCAAAGCTCATTCTGTCCCCACCCAGCCTTCCTCTGCCCATTTTACAAAGCTAGACAACTAAACCAGAAACCCCAGAGCCACCCTCTAAACTCAGTTGGCCGAGAAATCTTTGCAAGTCTATCATCACTATCTCTCCTCATTTTTGCTGCCAGTTGAAGCTTGCACCATCTCTAACCTACAGAATCAAATGTCGTCAGTCTTTAGCTTCTTTTCCCTCTAATTTATTCTTCAAACTGCTTTCTTGATATAAAATATCTTTCTAAAGTAAAAGTAATGCAACCTTTTTTCACGATCGTTTCTCTTCAAGGGTTCCCTTCATCTACTCTGTAAAACTAAAGGGCAATTTCACACTAAGATACAGTCCTGCTCTCAGTACCTGGCTCCAGTTCGCATCTCATATTTTGCACCTGCTGCCCCCTGCTCCCATGACCAGCTGCTGCAAGCCTCAGAGCGCCCCACTGCTCTCCATCAGGCCGGGCTGCTACCCCTGGTCCTGACCTCACACCTTGTGCTCTGATTCCACACACCTGCCCTTTCCTTCCTGAAGTTCCCCTGTACTGTGAAGCCTTCTCTGGTGGATCCTTTGTGCATTCTTTGGTCACAGAAACACCATGTAGATGTCAGCCCTGCCTCTCTCATTCAGTCAGGGACTACCAAGTGCCCTCTACATACCAGCAGTGGCCGAAGTGTAGCTGACACTCAAAGTATGCTGCACATCTAAAACCAGCTTTGCTACACTGCAGGTGTGCCCTAAATCTTTTGTTCTGCTTGATTTTATAGGATCTGATTTACCTAAAATAAGTGGGCTACCATTTAGGCCTTGGAAACTTTAAGACAGTGTTTTGAAATCCAATTTTTTGTATGAGGCTTAATCAAGAGTAAACAATGTTTCTACTAAGGCTATCTTAGAATTTGAAAATGGAAATCAGAATTTACAGCAGAAAGTCTGCTGTAAGTTACAATGCCTTATGGCTCCACTATTTTTTTTTTTAAATAAAATGAAGCAGAAAGAAGCACTATCTTATGCAAGCAATTATGCTGCTCCTAGAAAGTGGCCCTGAAGTATTTAAGAAAAGTGAACAATTCTGAATGTGATTTGGTTCCTTTGGCTCTTGATGGGGCTGGGGAGATAGCTCAGTAGAATAGGTGCTTGCCTGGTGAGTACAAGGTCCTGAGTTTAAATCCTGGTATCAAAACAAAACAAAAAGACTATTTTCCCACTTTGGCTCCTGATAACTAAGAGCTTTACCCGCAAAACAATTAATGTAAGTTATATTGAGGATACAGGAAATAAGCCATCACTTATAAATTTAAAATATTTTCTTCCTATTTTCCTGCGCTGCTATAGAACTTGTTTATAATATAGCAGTCATAATTTCTAATCTGTTTGTTTAAATTAATATCTAAGTAGTTTGTGTTCTTCTAGAAGAATTGTAGCCTGTCAGTGAAAACAATTACTGGACATATCTGAAAGTTATTTTTAAGCTCTATGTTTTGTACTTTGGACATTTTTATAACCATTCCAGTTAGCTGTGAAAATATGTATTATGTAGCATTTGGTTTTTGCAAGATATGATTGACTATAGCTCTTAAACATATAAACTCATTTCTATTTTATTTTTTAAAAGTTTTTAGTATGAGCCAGCATGGTACTACATATCTGTAGTATCAAGCCTAAGACAGCAGGATTGCAAGTTTGAGCCCTAGCTGGGCAATGCAGCACTACATAATGAACCCTGTCTTGAAAGGGGTCTGGCTTTGGGTTCAATCCCCAGGATCACACACACACACACACACACACACACACTTTGTTTTGTTTCTTCTTCTTTTGGTTATTTTTGTCTCACTAGGTAGCCCAGCTTGGCTTGGACTCACTATGTAGCCTAGCCTGCCTAGATGCACTAGGTAGCCCAGGCTGGCTTGGATTCACTATGCAGCCTAGCCTGCCTAGACGCACTAGGTAGCCCAGGCTGGATGGACTTAAGTGCTCAGCAATCCTCCTTCCTACAAAAAAACTTTTTAATATAAAAAAACCTTTTAATCATATTTTCAGAATCAAGTATGACTATGGCACATGTTAAATAACAGCTTGTAAAAATATCATCTAGGAAGTGGGTTGGGGTGTTGTTATTTTGAGATAGGATCTCACTGTGTAGCTCAGCCTGGCCTCCACCTACAGGGATGCTTCTGCCTCTGCCTCCCAAATGCTTGTATTGTAGGTGTGTGCCACCAAGCCTGACCAGCCTAGGAAGTTTTATTTCTTCCAACATATTAAGCACTTTCTTCAGTCTCCATTTTAAAAACATTTTTATTTTATTATTTTTTATTTTTTACTTAGAGCCTCCACACTGAGCTAAGGCCCAAGCCTTTTTTCTTTTTTTTCCAGACAAGGTATTGCTAAATTCCCTGGGGTTGATTGAACTTGCAATCCTTCTGCCTCAGCCTCCTACAGTGCTAGGATTACATGTGTGTGCCACCAAGCCCCACTAAGAATCAAATTTTAAGCTTTAAGATTATTCTACGCTGCTTTCCAAGAGACAGTCTGTGCAAGTAGTTTGAAGGATCTCCATACTTGTTTGGCATGAATAAATGAAAAATGTCCTCAAAATTGGCCCAATTTATCAAAGATCAGGCCATTCTACTTTCCTGAGTCAGTGTCCCCGGCCTGCCCCCGGGGACCTCAGCTCACCGCCGCCTGGGTGCCCCGCGTGGACGCGGTGGTGACAGGAGTGATGGTGATGGTGCTGGTCACCTTGCCCGGACCTGGCCGCGCTGCAGGGGTCCCGCGGGGGGCGCGGAGACCAGGGCTTGGGGCCACCTCCCTGCCTGCGGGCCGCACGGTGATCACCGGGCTCGCGCCTTCCGCCTGTGCGCCCAGGTGGATGTGGATCCTGTTGTCCTCCGTGGTGATGATGCTGGCGTTGGCGTTGAACCTCCGCTGCGCGGGTGGGCCCGGCTGCTTCTCGGGGGTGACCCTGAGCACCGTCCTCCCCGCGTGCGCCTCCTGGGGCCCAGGGGGCCCCCCTGGCGACACCGGAGTCCCTGCCGCCTCCGTGGGCGCGGGCGCGGGCGCGGGCGCGGTGGCCACCGTGCGCACCTGCAGAGGCGACGCGCGCCCGTCCGCCGCCCGCTCCCGCGACAGCGTGGTGATAGTAACGGGGGACGAGGCGCGCTCGGGGTCGGCGCCCGGCGCGGGCACGATGGTAATGCGTGGCGCCTGGCCGCCGAGCGTGGGGATGACGGTCGTGCTGGAAAAGAACTCCTCGGGCGTCGGGCGAGTGATCTCAAGCGTGGCCGCGCTGCCGCCGCGCTCCGGCGTCACGCGGATGTGCAGCGGCTGGCCGTGCCGCGGCGCCAGCACCAGCCCTCCGGGATCCGGGCGGCCCTCGTGCGGGCCGGGGTCGCAGTCCACGCGCCCCCGCGCCCAGGATGCCCAGGCCCCGCGCCGCGCGCCCTCACCCGCCGCCGGCGGGTACCGGTCCAGCACCGAGCCGCGCCCCGCGGGCTTGCGCAGCGCCCCCTGGCGCAGGTGGCTCATGAGGTGCTTCTCCTCTTGGAAGGACTTGCGGATGAAGACGGCTGGCGACTCATCGGCCGCCCCGGCTCCCGGGGCCTCTGTCTGCACCGCGGTGGACGCCACCGGCACGTCCACCATTCTGCGCCCTGCCACGCTGGGCCGCAGCGCGCGGCTGTAGCGCCGGGACAGCTCCAGCTCCTTCGTCAGGTGGAGCACCTCCTGGCCCATACTTTTGTTCTTATTTTCTTCCTCCATAAACCTTTGCTGGAGGACCGAATAATCCACCTGGAGCTGAGAAAGCTGATCTTCCTTGTTCATTAACTCGTGGATCTTCTCCTTGAGCGCTTGCACCTCGGCTTTTAAATCGCGACTCTTGGCCTCCTCCAGGCGGAACCTGTGTCTCAGTTCAGCCTCCTGACTTACAGCCTCTCCTTTCTCTATGGCTTTGTTCTTGGCGATTTGGTGCTTGATTTCCTCCAGCTGTTGAGAGAGGAAGTTGGCCTTGTCCTGCTCGGTTCTGAATTTCTGCTCCAGCTGGTCGTACTCATCTTCCGTCTTCATCAGATCCCCTTCCACCACCTCCAGCTGTTGAAGGCGCTTCTTCAGCCTCTCGATTTCAAGTGTTAGCTCCTTGATCTTGTTGTCTTCTGGGCAGGCGAGCTCTGGCGCTTTCCGAGACCTTCCTCTTCTTTCTAATTCTTCTAGACCATCGAGTCGCTTCTTTAATAAATCCACACTGCAGCTTAGCTCAGAGGATTTTTCTTCCTCACTTTTCAGTTTACCTATCAGCTCATCCCTCTCTTTGGTCAAACTGTACACTTTCTCCTCCATTTCAGACTTCAGTTTTAAGAGCTTTTTACTTTCTTCAATTAATTTTTCAGTTACATCCATAACCTTCCCTTGTTCCACCTTAAAATTTTTATTGAGTCCATCCACTTTTCTCTCTTCTTGCTTTATTTTCTCCATCATGTTTTTCCTTTCATCAACCAGCATCACAGTAAATGACTTCAGTTTTGTAAGATCATCTTTGAGGCTCAGTTCGGCCTTTTCCAGTCTACTTTCAGAACATTCGAGTTCTTTAACCCGACTCTTGACCACCTCCAATTCATTCAGCAAGTCTTTGGTTAAGTTCTTTTCTTTCTCCAGATTCAAGTGGAGCTGGGAGCACTCCGACTTGCTCCTGCTAAAGGCTTCTTCCAGCTTCTCCAGCTCGGACATTCTCTTTTGTAGCTTCTCCACTTCAAGTTTGAGCTCCCTGCTGTGGTGCTCTTCCTCCTGGAGCCTCTTCCGCAGTTCGCGGCACTGGGACTCCGTTTTGGTGATCTCCTCATCTTTACCCTCCATATCGAGCACCCGCTTTCGGAGATTTTCCACTTCTGCCATGAGGCTGGAGTTGCCGCATTCCCCTTTCGCAATTTTATCTCTTAATTCCTGAAGCTCTTCCTCTGCCTTCTGGAGATTTTTGTTAGTCTCTTCCAGCTCCTCGATTCTTTGAGACAAGCCAACCAGCTTCAGTCGCAGTTGTCGATTGTGAGACTCCTGGTTGGCCAGTTTAGCGTTCATCTCTTCATGCTCTTGAGTAAATCTGGAGGCCTTGTGCTCAAAGTCTACTTCTAACTTAAGCAGTTTCTGCCTGTCTTCTTTGGATTTGGAAGACACTGCTTTGAGCTTTTCTTCTTCCTCCCTCAGTTTCTGGGTAAGATCCTGCACTTTCTGGCTTTGCAGGCCGAGTTGCTCAATGTGCATTTGCCTCTCATCCACCAGCATGAGTGCGAAGGACTTGAGCTTGACAAGCTCATCTCTCAGTTTGTTGAGCCGCTTAGCATTTTCCTTTTCTTTGCGGGCTTGGTAAGCCTTTTCTTGTTCGAGGAGCTTTTTCAACCTAGCAAACAAAATATAGCTGTGTTAAAAGCAGTAATGGCAAATACAGCTAAGTCTTAGATATTAAATAAAAAAGAAAGTGTTACCAAAACAAATCTTGTCCACTGCTGTAATATCAATTACAAATAGCCATTAATTAAATGAACCAGAAGAGAGGGTGCTACTTAAAATGAGACAGGTGCTTGAGGAGGTCTGTTAGGGTACTAGTTTCCGTTTGGTGGTTTATGTGCTCATTACACAGGGACTTTTAATTTATGAATTTTTGCAGGTCTGTGGATGGAGCCCAGAGCGCACTGAGCTGCAGCCATTGTTTTATTTTTTATTTTATTTTATCTCATCCATATTTTATTTTATTTTGAAACAGGGTCTCTAAAATCCCAGGCTGACCTCTAGCTTGCAGTTCTCCTGTGTCAGCCTCCCAAGCAGCTGGGATTCCATCCATATGCCACTACCTTTCTGCATGTATATTATACTTCAATAAAATAGCCAGTGAAACTAGGCTGTGCAATAGTAATGACTATTTGCATAGTGCTTTCTGGATTCTGAGTCCTAGGCTCTACTTCATGCTCACAGTGCTCCCCGAGACGTAAATTTCTTCTGTCATCCTCAGGAGGAAAATGAGACAAGGCAGACACGTCCCCTGCTCTGGTCACATGGCCACGAAGTGGCACTACGGGGTTTCCAGCTCTCCAGCAGAGCCCTTTCTCTCTCAGAGAAATTTATGTAAGGGAAAGAGAAGGCCCAGAAAAGAAGAACCTTCAAGCATTCTTATTTGGAACTTCTGAAATATACTGATTACCTGGTAAGGAGAAGGCAAGAAAGGCTTTCTCATAGAAAAACTGATCAAGGGGCCAGGGAGATGGCTCAGTGGAATAAGCGCTTCCCTGGAAAGCACAAGAGCCTGAGTTCAATCCCTGGTTCCAAAAAAAAAAAAAAAAAAAAAAAAAAGCTGATCTACATGAATACATTTTAGCTGACACCAGAACTGGCACAGGATTTGGTTTCAGTTTCTAACTTAAACAACAACAAATTTAGGAGACAGAACTAAGTAGAGAAGAGCTCTAAATTCCTATCATTACATAAATGTGGCAGTCACAGGAATTATGTTTCACGTTTACAACATGCATTTTCTTTATGATACTTATGTATAGCTTTGAAAGTAAGGCTAGGTCAGAGTAACAATGTATCATTCTTGGGTTGATCAGTTAGCTTGTATCAACTGTAATGGATATCTTTACATAGCTACTGAGTTAAATTATATTCACTATGTTAGTTTAAAAAGCATTTTAATCAATAATGTACTAGCAAGTTATAGAAAACCACTAACATGTATGTATTTAAGTACATTTTATTCCTTTGGTATATTTTTCTTTTTTCTTTGGCAGAACCGGGGATTGAACTCAGGCCCTTGTGCTTGCCAGGGAAGCGCTTATTCCACTGAGCCATCTCCCTGCCCCATTCTTTGGTATATTTTTCACCTTTATTATTTGGATTCATTTATTTCAGATTAACAGATTAGCTTTTAGCCAAATAAATAGAATTTGTTTCACATTTCATTGTGTAAGAAATTCTAGGACATATACATGGAAGCTATTCATAATTAAAGCCATTGTCAGACAATATTGCTATATAAATGGTTATGATGATGTCATTGAAGTTTTTTTAAATAGTATTGATTTCTGTAGAATATATCCTGATGTCTAAAGGGTGTGTGCATATGCACTGGTGTGGCACTGGGAACTCAACTATAAATACTTTATATCTAAAACATGACTATGTCTAAAGGAGAAGGAAAAGACAGTTTCCAAATCCTACATACTCATATACACTTAGTAGTTTCACTGAATGTTGTCCTCATGGGTATGAAAAGGGATATGATGCCTTATATGTGTAGAAAACATGAGATTAGCAATCTCCAGGTGGAAGGAGGAAAAGCAGAGGTGGACTGGGTAGAGGGAGGACGGAAGCTGACTTTCTAGTTGAGGTCCCTTAAGAACCCTTGTTCTGGGGAGAGGTGCTCCAGTCTTCTTGTTAATTCCAGTCTCTTAAAAGCTCACCCCAAGGCCAGCCAAATAGCTCAGGGGATTAAAGCGCAGCGGCTGGGGTTGGATCCCAGGCCTGCCTTGCTGGCCCCGCCACTGTGGTGCCCTGAGACTGGACGTGGGGGCACGCCTGTAATCCCAGCTCATTGGGAGACTGAATAGAGGCAGATCACTAGTAGTCTACAATCTACTGATCTATGTGGTGAGACCCTGAGACCCTGTAGACCCTTACTTAAAAAAAAAAGCTCAATCCAAACTCCATTTTTTTTTTGCTAGTACTTAATTAAAAATAAATGGCCACAGAGATAGCTCAGTGGTCTAAGCGCCTGCGTAGGCTATCGGAAGGACCTGGGTTCAATCCCCTGGACCACATATTGTGCCAGCTCCACCACAGGTGTACCAAGACTGGGTGTGATGGCGCACACCTGTGATACCAGCACTGGGGAGGCTGCAAGCAGGAGGACCACTACAAGTCAAGGCTGTGTAGTGAGACCCTGTATCAAATACTTAAAATAGATAAATAAATAAATAAATAAATAAATAGAAAAAAGTCTCCATTGTAATGTGTTAAATGCCATATTTTTTCATTTAATTTTCACAGCAACCATTTGAATAAGGCATTACTGTATCTTTTTATAAACAAAGATGTTATTGGCATTAACCAAAGCAAAATGATTAAGAGAGGATATGTTGGAATTTTGAACAAGTTCCTAATAATAATGGGATTCCTCAAATGGATATAGCCCAATCACCTCAAATTTTCAAGAGTTTGTTCATGTTCACTTCATCCTTCATGGTTTAATTCCTCAAATTCTCATCTTTTGGATTGTGCTTTTGTACCTAACATTTTAGCTTATATCTAATTTAGCATTAAGGGTATAGTGACCCCATCATTAATAAAGACAGGTTAATAATGCACACTCTCAAGATCTGAAAACATTCTCAAGATCTCTCTCTCTCTCTCTCTCTCTCTCTCTCTCTCTCTCTCTCGCTGTTATCAGTCCATTCATATAATCCCAGATCTTGGGGGGCTGTAAACAGACAGATCAGTACAAGTCCCATCCAGTAGTTAGACCCAGAACACCCTGTAGACCCTTCCCTAAAAAAAATTTCAATCCATTCAGTGGCAAGGGCACTGCCATTCAATTAGCTACAAGCCCACTGCACTATGCATTCTTTACTGCTTCTGAGTTTTCATTCTTCCTCTATCCCATCACTTATATACCATCATTCTTGCCAGTTTCTTCTTTCTTTCTTTTTGAGATAGGATCTCTCTCACTATTTAGTTTAGGTTGCCCTTGAACTCACTATGTAGCCCAGGCTGATCTCAAACTCACAGGCATCTATCTTCCTGCCCCTGCCTCCCAAATGCTGGAATTATAGGCATGAGGCCCATCTTCTCACCACTTTCTGAAGAAGTTTTCAAAGTACACTTTCATATTCTCTGAGCTGTGATTAAAAATTACTGAGAATGTTGCTGCCCAGTGTCATCCAAGTGAAAAGCAGGCTTGTAAAAGCATTACAGTGTGTCCTCCCCCACCCCAACCCCCCGCTTACCAAATCTGGCATTGTGCAACTGTGGCTCTTCCCCAAAGTCAAAATGACCACAAAAGATGAACATTTTGGACCAATTCAGGACATCAAGACAATCACAAAAGCTCAACTAACGACACTCAGGAAAGAGGACTTCTAGAACTGCTTCAGAAAGTGACAAGAATGATGGGATAGTGTACTGGGCATACTGGGAGCAAGGGAGAATATTTTTAGTGGCATTAACAGCAATGTATCCTTTAATGTATTTGTAAAAAAATAAACATTCACCACTGTATATTTTTTTATTCACACTTCCTATTTTGAATTCAGGTACTTCTCACCTCCTCCATTCCTTCACCCTGACCCAGGGTAGCATTGTCTCTTGTCTGGATTACTATAAAATCAATCTAATCTGACTCCCAACTTCCACTCCTACCCACTCTCAGCTCACTCTCAACCTGTTGTCTCTTCCCAGAAGCCTGAGTGATGAAAAAGAAAAGAAAAGAAAAGAAAATCAAATACTCTGCTTGGAAGAGAAGGAGAAAAGAGGGAAGTAGATGTAGGAATCAGAGCCGGATCAGCGTTCTAACGCATGTGCAAGCACACACACACAAGAAGACGCAGGCACATTCCCTTGTCACTTAAAGCATGTTGAGTTTCTGTACAGCAACAGTCTAGTTAATAATAAGGAATGACAGCATATTTCTATTAATAAAAAACAATTATAGAATACCACCAATTTCTAATCTCCAATAAAATAATGAATATAGGTAATGCTCATCAATGGCTCCCAAGAATAGACAATGTTAGACATTGTATAATTACATCTCCACCCATGAAATAGTCTTCCCTAAAATATTAATCTGAATTATAGCAAGCTCCTAGAGCTAACTACTAGACTATAGGAAAAACAGAGGCAAGAAATTACAAATTCATCATAAAAATGAATCAGAAAAATCCAAAAGTGGCAACTATGTGGAACAAAAAACTTGTTTCATTAATAAATAGCTAGGAAAATGAAAAAAGAACAGGGAGAGGGATCTATAGATTAACAGAGACTTAGAATACAAATCAGCCAATTGTACTCTTTTAGATGCTTTTTCAAACTAATTTTTAAATGAGACAATTGGAAAAATTACTCTGTTGATGAATTATTACTAAAGTTGTATTTGATAATAAATCATAACATTAATTTTTTTGAGAGAGACAGGGTCTCACTATGTAATTCAGGCTGGCCTTGAACTCATGTTGATCCTCCTGACTTACCTCCTGAGTCCTGGCATTTTGAGTATGCACTATCATGCCCAGCTACAATAATTTTTTAAGGTGTTCATCTTTTAGGAAAATATATTGAAATATTTATGAATAAAATTGTACAGCTTGGATTTATATAAAAATAATCCAAAGAAATGGTAATAGATGAAAC